GGGGATGAGGGGTGGGGCTGGAGCTGGGGGGGGGAGTAGGGGTGGGGTTAGGAGTGGGGGGGAATGAAAAGGGCTGGGTCTGGGAGAACATGGGAAGTTCAGGAAAGTCTGATGGAGGAGAATGGTGAAACTACAAGGCCTGATGAAAGGACAAGGTTTGACTTCTTGGATCTAACCTCCTGGCTTAGCATTTGTTATAATACACTGTGAGGAGGGACCAGGGAGGAGCCCGTGGCAGGGGACAAACACGCCATCACCAGAACTTATATGGAAAGAAAGTTTTATTGGGAAGGCTGTGTGGGGGAAGAGAAAAAGAGAGAAAAGAGGGGCAGGGGCAGAGACAGAACAGACAGGGATCTGTTTGCCTCCTCAGAGAGATGGCTGAGAGAGGGAGAGAGGGGGAGAGAAGCCGGCAGAGGGCCAGGGTGAGTAAACCTGCCATGCCGAGAGGGGTGAGAGGCAGGCCGGGTTTGTCTGGGTTACAAGGGCATCTGCTTACTCATGTATATCTTTGAGGCGAACAAGGAGTCTGTTCTGAAAACAGAAAGTGGTAGCTCTAAAGATAAGAGCTGGGCATTCCTACAGGGCTGTCCCGGTGGAAGTGAATGAGTTCTAGAGTGTGAAATGGACATCTGTCCCTCACTGAGCATCTGCAGGAACTCAGTAAGAGGCTGGAAGACCACAAAAGTGCCTCTGGCGTGAGTGTGCTGGGAGCACATTGCTGTGTCACGGGGATTAACCTCAGCGATTCCTGATCCTACGGAGATCTTACTGCTCTCCCCATGCTTCTCCTACCTAGCATCTTGTTTAAATTTCCCAGCTGCATTTCAGAGGGTTTTGTTATCCTCTCCTTGTTTTATAGAGGAAGGAAATTCACACAGTGGTGCGTGAGTGATGAGCCTCACACAGTGGTGAGTGAGAGAGTGAATGAGTGAGTGATGAGCCTCACACAGTGGTGAGTGAGAGAGTGAATGAGTGAGTGATGAGCCTCACACAGTGGTGAGTGAGGGTGAGTGATGAGTCTCACACAGTGGTGAGTGAATGAGTGAGTGAGTGAGTGATGAGTCTCACACAGTGGTGAATGAGTGAGTGATGAGCCTCACACAGTGGTGAATGAGTGAGTGATGAGTCTCACACAGTGGTGAGTGAGGGTGAGTGATGAGTCTCACACAGTGGTGAGTGAATGAGTGAGTGAGTGAGTGATGAGTCTCACACAGTGGTGAATGAGTGAGTGATGAGCCTCACACAGTGGTGAATGAGTGAGTGATGAGCCTCACACAGTGGTGAATGAGTGAGTGAGTGAGTGATGAGTCTCACACAGTGGTGAGTGAATGAGTGAGTGAGTGAGTGATGAGCCTCACACAGTGGTGAGTGAGTGTGTGAGTGATGAGTCTCACACAGTGGTGAGTGAGTGTGTGAGTGATGAGTCTCACACAGTGGTGAGTGAGAGAGTGAATGAGTGAGTGATGAGTCTCACACAGTGGTGAGTGAATGAGTGAGTGAGTGAGTGATGAGCCTCACACAGTGGTGAGTGAATGAGTGAGTGAGTGAGTGATGAGTCTCACACAGTGGTGAGTGAATGAGTGAGTGAGTGAGTGAGTGATGAGTCTCACACAGTGGTGAGTGAGTGACTGAGTGAGTGATGAGTCTCACACAGTGGTGAGTGAGAGAGTGAATGAGTGAGTGAGTGATGAGTCTCACACAGTGGTGAGTGAGTGAGTGATGAGTCTCACACAGTGGTGAGTGAATGAGTGAGTGAGTGAGTGATGAGTCTCACACAGTGGTGAGTGAGTGAGTGAGTGAGTGATGAGCCTCACACAGTGGTGAATGAGTGAGTGAGTGAGTGAGTGATGAGTCTCACACAGTGGTGAATGAGTGAGTGAGTGAGTGAGTGATGAGTCTCACACAGTGGTGAGTGAGTGTGTGAGTGATGAGCCTCACACAGTGGTGAGTCGTTGAGCCAGAGTACCATTAGTTCTGGCATGTTTCAGAATCTTCTCCTTGGAACTTTCCATCTAGAGGCTCTGGAGATTGCCGGTCAGAGATTGGTTCAGAAGACATTAACTCAGCTTAAATAACAAAGAATACATAGGAGGAAGTGCAGAAGGTAGGAAGAAATGAAGACGGTCTGACACGTTAACTGTAAAGGGTAACAGGAATATAAGACACCAGCTGACACAATACAACAGTCTATAACTCCAGCCAGCTCCAGGGGCTCAGATGCCCTCTCCAGGGGCTCAGATGCCCTCTCCTAGGCTCTGTGGGCACTGCATGCACACATACACTCAAGCTTGCACACATATAACTGTGTACCATGTGTACATATGCACACACACGCACACACACACACACACAAAACATGACCACTGTAGTGAGATATCCACCTCGACTACACCAGTTGCACTGACCACGCCCATTGGGGCATGGGGACAGGTTTGGATGTGACCTGGGGGACTAGGTCTGGGGTTCCAGACCCCAGCTGGATCTTACTTCCTGGTCAGAGACAGAGAGCATCCGGAGGCATCCTTGGGACGGGATCGTGCGGCAGTCATCTGTTTCTGGTGTAAGTGATTTCTCCCCAAATAAACATCTGTCAGCCTATCATTTCCCAGATTCTTATTTACCACACACATAGAATAAAAATAATTCTCAAACCAATTTAGCAACAATAAGGAACCTGGTGTGTTGTGACATCTCTATGGGGTTGTGGAACTGAAACCCAAGCAGCATGCCCAGAACAGGACCCTAGACGACTTAGCCCTCTGCCTGTCTCCTCTTCTAGCCTTCACTATCTGTCTTAGTTAGCTTTAACAGTCAGCTTGACACACCCTAGCATCTTCTGAGCGGGACGCCTCTACCAAGGAACTGTGTAGATCAGACTGGCCTGTGTCTGGGTCTGTGTGGGTTTATCTCAATTGTTAATTGCTGTAGGAGGGGCCAGCCACTGTTGGCAGATGGCCCTTTGTTTCACCAGGCTCAGGAGCATGCTTCCAGATGCACAGGCCAATCATTTAGTAACTACACAACCTTGAATAGCCAGGAAAGAGGGTTTCAACCAAGACATTGTCTAAATCAGGTTGGCTGTATGGCTGTAGGTGACATTGCCTTGGTTGTTAACTGAGGTGCGTAAGTGTGGGTGGCACCATTTCCTAGGCCAGGAATGGTATAGAAAGCCAGCTGAATATGCTTTATGCTCTGGCCTTAATTTCCTTGCAGTAATGGACTGTACCCTGGGATTGCCAGCCAAGTAAACCCGTTTCCCCCTAAGTTGCTTGTTGTCAGGGTATTATCACAGCTGCAGATGTAGGACACCCCTAAACCTTCTTACATAAAAGCCTCGTTTAAAACCTGGTACTCAACTGAAATGCCCAGTCTGTCATGTGGGGTCACTAAAAGGCATTGAGTATGCATACCAGAATTTCTTCATCCCTTCATCCAGTGATGGACACATTGGCTGGTTTCTTTCCTGGCTCTCATGACAAAAAGCTGCAATGAACTTTCATGCCCATGTATGACAGGTATGGTAACTAAGAGTCTTTCATGTATAAACCCAAGAGTGAGACAGCAGGATTGAATGGCATTCTAGTTTAAGCTTTTTGAGAAACTTCCATATGATTTATACTGTGACTACACCAAAACAATTTTGTTTGTGCAACATTAAATTTCTTTTTGCTAGTAATAGATAATTGATACATTTTTTTCTCAAATAACTAAAATATACTTGTTAAACTGGGGTGTGATACTTTTTTATTGCATTTTCTGTATTTTGATACGTTAATGAAACATATGGCTTTACAAGAAAATAAAAATCACCGAACTTAATTTAGGAAAAAATAATTCACTGGACAAAAAGAAAAATGAAATAATTTGAAAATATAAAACCAAATAGCTATAACTGAAAACATTTCTAAAGAAAGAAAAAAGTAATTCAGTTTTCACTTGCTTGTAGGAAATGAGTTCGTTAGACTAACGTCCTCTGAAATTAACACCAGCCTTACCTATGCTCAGAAGGCGGAAGTGAGTTTATCAGCCACGGAGGCGGCGGAGCCTGACTGGCAAAAACTGGCACAGAAGATGAAACTGTGTAAAATCACACAGGGCCCAATTCAAATCCAGCCTCCAAGTGTTATTTCTTCGTCGTCCCGTCCACAGCTATGAAGTAGTCATTAACAACTTAAACCTGCTGAAAGATGGTACAAAATACCAGCTACATAGAACGCGTTTCAAGAGATAACCGTTCCTAAAGAAATGTCAGGTTCCTGCTGAGGGAACCCCAGGAACATACATCTATCCCCTAAACCAGAGGACTAACGAACTTCAAGTATCAAAGAACTAGGGCAATGAAAAAAAAAATTACTGTTCTTAGTTATATGTAAGGAGGATATGCAGACCTGAGTCCACGTTGATTCCCTGCAGCTAGTTACAGGTGATTGTGAGCTAACCTAACCCACCTGAGTGTTGAGAAAACCACAGGACTTCTCTAAGAGCAGCTCGGGTTCTTTAGCCCCTCCCACTTCAGACTTACAGACATCCTTAAAATGAAGCTTACAGCCTTGTCCGAGGAATCCGAACCCGGGAAGCTGACCAGCCTGAGCTAAAAGTGGACCCGGAGTGTCCCCAAAAGACATCGTTAATAGCTACAGCTGAGAAAGCCGAGTTTACGCTGCAGGGACACTTCCTACTTTGGGGTCCCAAGCGTGTTTCCTGCTGCCCTTAAGGAACCTGGGTCTGAAGAGCACCGGACACCGGCCGCCCCTCCCGAGGTCTAGAGCTCGAAAAATGGGACGCAGCCTCCAAGCACCTGGGAGCCCCGGCCGCGCGTTACTAGCTTTCTGCCTAGCATCTAGAAACAAGCAAAGAAAAAATCATTCACGTAGACCAACAGCACTCAGCAAGCCTGCGGATCACTTTCTCCGTCGCTGGGCGGAGACACGAGGGCCACCGTTCCAATGAGAACGTGCTCTCAAGCGTCTTGATTTGCATATGTGAAAATGCAAACCGCAGAGCACCAGCGCTCATTCCCTAACACAGCCCGACCTCAGGGCCCGCCCCCCAGCCCCATTGCAAGTGCCCCAGCTCCTCCTTGATGCTTTGGGGGCCCTGAAAAGGGCCTTTGAGTTGGGGAGGAGGCTGCCAAGAGACCAAGATGGCCTAGAGCATGTGGCTGCGCTCAGCCTCCAAAGCCATACAGAGTGCGGCCCTGGCGCTTGAGTGCGTAGACCACATCCATGGCCGTGACCGTCTTGCGCTTGGCGTGCTCAGTGTAGGTGACAGCGTCGCGGATCACGTTCTCCAGAAACACCTTGAGAACACCGCGAGTCTCCTCGTAGATGAGCCCGGAGATGCGCTTGACACCGCCTCGCCGAGCCAAGCGCCGGATGGCCGGCTTTGTGATGCCCTGTATGTTATCTCGCAGGACCTTGCGGTGCCGCTTGGCGCCGCCTTTTCCGAGTCCTTTGCCGCCTTTGCCACGTCCAGACATATTGAACAAGCTGCCAGCAGTGGAACAAAAGAGAACTGCAGGACAGAGGTCTCAAGCCACAGCTTTTATTTCCTGTTAGCGGACCTGTTTGAAAACAGCAAAGAGTGGGCGGAGCTATAGGCTCCATCCCCTGGCTCTTTACTCCAAGCGGCGGGGAGCTCCAATCAAGATTAGGAAAGACTTTGTTCTCCCCTTAGTCTGAGAAACCCTAGCACTTTCGAAATTTTAAACAATATAAGGTAACAACTCATTTCGCTCCCCTAGCGCAAAAAAGAAGCCCGCATTACGCTTGCTATCTTCAGTACGCTCTGAGTCGCTATTTTCTAAGCAGAATGCGTATTCTTACTCTACTGATAAGTAATGTGAAAATGAATAGGAACTAGCAATAAAACCTAGTTTACGGTAAAGCAATTATATTTTCACGGGTGGCTCTTTTGAGTGGATGCAGAAGTGGATGGCCACTTTCTCGTGACCAAGCTAAAAATATTACTTACTCCTCTCTTTACTCCTGTTTGTTTTCAACTATTGATTTATGAGTATATATATGTGTACATATATATCTCAACAAACGAGGTAATTTCAAACATTGATATATATATATATATTTCAGTGTGTGGATTTTTCTGTCTCTCTTCCTGGCAAGCATATTAGTATTTTCTTTTAGCTGAGCTATTGTAACATGTCACTTAGATAAACTTGCATCTCATTGCTTGCATTTAAAACCTAAGAGTTCTCTCCACGTGTAGTGACTCACACATGTAATCACAGGTCTCTGGAGGTTGAGGTAGGATTGCTGCGAACTGGAGACCAGGCTTAACTAGACATTTCACCCACTCCTATTCAAATTTTGTAAAGTAACATTTGTCAAAAGCATGACTTTGAGTAGATTTTTACTGCAAATCCCCAAACCAGAAAAGGGCTCTTTCGGTGTGTTTGTTTGTTTTCCTTTCTGAAACAGCCCTGACTGTCCTGGAATTCACTTTGTAAATCAGGCTGACCTCAAACTCACAGAGATCCACCTGTCTCTGGTTCCTTAGTGCTGGGATTAAAGGCATGCATCACCACCACCTGGCAGTATTAACTAAAGACAAGACTGTCCTGAAGTTTACTGCACTCAGAAGACAGCAGGATTTAAGGAAGGGCTCACAGTACTTTCCTAATGAGCGAGTTGAGGACTGAGCATTTTAGTAAATTGTTGTTGGTCTGTAGTCTTGAAGAAATGCCTCTCAGCAGGAAAATGGTTTCCTAAATGTTTATATTTCTAAATGCTTTTAATCTCCAGTACTTCTCAATCTTCATCAATCCCTATAAGGCAAACATTATTTGTTATTCTGTTTGTTAAAGGTCAGTTGAGTCCTAGGATAATTGGAGGGAAAAAAACTATTTTAAATCCTTGGCTTTTTAGAATCCTTACAAAAATAAGGCAAAGATGCATCTAGAATACTTTCTCAAATTCTGTAAAACCTTGTCCAAATAAACAAATAAATAAATAAAAGGAAAGAAAAGGACTTTTCTATGATATAAGCACAAATTTAAGCTGGTTTATAGACGTCACCAGAGGCTTCCATAGGCGTTGACTCAATATATATATCCTGTTAAGTGCTTAGAGACATTAAATAATGTATCCAAGTCACTTGTTAGGTGGTAAAGCCGGGATTTTGAGGAAGTTCTCTGGCTCCAAGATGACAGATCACCTTTATGGTGGCAGGACATATTGCTCAGATCCAAAGAGTGTATTTGACCCCCAGGGGCTGTTTATTCATCATTGTGCTAGGCAATAAAGACATATGTAAATACATTTGAACACTATTTTCGTGCGTGCGAGTGCTGTGCGTGCATGTGTGTGTTGTGTGTGTGTGTGTGTGTGTGTGTGTGTGTGTGTGTGTGTGTGTGTGTGTATGCATGTATTTTGTGTTTGGGACAGGATCTTATGGAGCTCAGGCTGGGCGGGGACCCTAACAGACCCTCCTGTCTACAGCTCCTTAATGTTAAGATCACAGACAGGGCCCACCACACTTCACTCTGTGAACTTTATCTCAATGAAATCAAACGTAATTATAATGGGGGAGAGATTAAATTTGTGATCTTTTAACTAAATGGATACTAAAATGTAGATGGCATTTTAATCAACGTTTGACATTACATCACTTGTGTAATTTCAGAAAATGTGGTAAATTGAAGTACCGCAGTAAATCAGTGGAAAGTAATCGCTAATCAAATAAAAGACACCTTATATTATTTCAAATGTCACAGGCCTATACTTTGAATATATTGGAACAAGTCGAAGTATTCTTCCTCCAGCGGCGGGGCCTATTTTAGAGTAGAGTACTCTAAAGTCTTGGTGGAGTGCTAAACAACGACCTCCATCTCCAAGAACCGGGAATACAGACATGCAAGGCTTTCCTTAATTCCCTCCCTCCCTTCCTTCCTTCCTATCAGGCTGGTCTGGATCTCAAAATAGCTAAGATCAACCTCAAGCTTCTGGCAATCCTCCTGCCTCAGCTACCCTAGTCATGGGATTTATAGCCATGAACGACCCAGTTTCCTCCGGTTCCTGGCAGCCAATTCCGAAAGGACGGAGAAAGCCAGTGAACTATGTAAATTAGGTCTAGGAGTTTGCGCTTTCGATTGGGTCGAGTCTGGGAGGCGGGCGCTCTGCTCTGGCGAGCTGATTGGGGACGGCTCCTGCCTGTCACAGGCGGCAGCGGCTGCAGAGTTTGGAGAGGTAGTTCCGGAGAGGCGCACGGCGTCCCGGAACTGAGCGGGCTGGTGTTGGATCTCCGGACGCAGGGTCGAGCATGTCTGGACGAGGCAAGCAGGGCGGCAAGGTGCGCGCCAAGGCCAAGTCGCGCTCGTCGCGCGCGGGCCTGCAGTTCCCCGTGGGTCGCGTCCACCGGCTGCTGCGCAAGGGCAACTACGCGGAGCGCGTGGGCGCGGGCGCGCCGGTGTACCTGGCGGCGGTGCTGGAGTACCTGACGGCTGAGATCCTGGAGCTGGCGGGCAACGCGGCGCGCGACAACAAGAAGACGCGCATCATCCCGCGCCACCTGCAGCTGGCCATCCGCAACGACGAGGAGCTGAACAAGCTGCTGGGCCGCGTGACCATCGCGCAGGGCGGCGTCCTGCCCAACATCCAGGCCGTGCTGCTGCCCAAGAAGACCGAGAGCCAGAAGGTGAAGAGCAAGTGAACCCCACGGGTGCAGAGCCCGCCGCAGTCCGCAGCCAATAAAGTCGGTGAAAAGCGAGTAATCCGGAGAGCTGTGTAGTCGCGGGACCGACGGGTGCTGGGTGGGGACTCGTCCCGAGTTTGAGCAGGACGCGGGCCACCCCATGAAGCCGTGTGGGAGCCGGAGGGGGCCCAGCGCTGGGATTGGGAGCTCCCCCTTGAGCATCACAGTGGGCAGGAGAGGCGGAGATGTGCGGGGAGGCTACTCTGGAATTAACTTTGCCTAGCTCACTACCCAGGCCTTCGCAGGGAGGAGTGGTAGGGGACTTGTTTTGAGCGCACATACAAGAAGTTGGCCTCGCTGGCCATCCTTAGGAAGGTTGAGCTACTTGGAAAAGAAAGAGAACATAGGGACTTAGTAATTTAAGGTCGATAGTCTTTTAAGTAATAGATATTACATGTTCATGATCTGAATACCAGACATCTTCACATCACACCCTTGTGTTCACATTTCTAGCAAACGAAGTAATTTGTGCAATACGGAGGTGAGTCATGAAGTTTGCTCCCTGGGCGGTATTGCGTAACATCGGGGCCCTCCGTCTTTGGCAGCTTTTAAAATTGTTTTGCTGCTCATGGTGGCAAACGCCTGCCATCGGGAGTATGACGTCATTCCTGGCTAGTGAGTGCGAGACCATTCCTGAACTACATTAGGAGTGTGTCTCAAAGTATATACATATATTTTCCTCTCAAGTTTTGGCTTCATAACAGCCTCTTTAGCATTGCCTCTGGAAACTGGCTTGGTTTTATTTAAAATTTAACCTTGCTTTTAGGGATAACTGATTACTTTCTGGAGTGGTCCCCCCCCCCCCCTCTTATTTTCACTAGCTGCAGAGATGTGTAATGGCATGGTAAGGAAAGTTAAGAGCAAGAAGCACACAAGTCCCTGGGAACGTTCTCTCTTGTCCATTCCATTATTCCTGCAACTCATTCTGCCCACAGTACCCACAAAAAAACACCCAGGGTAGGTTTCACTCTGGGTTTTATTTCCTGGGAGTCAGAGTTGAAGTCCTCTTCATTTGCGGTGGCTGGCGCATATGCCTTCATCCCCAGTGTTGACTGGCCGCTACTCCATGCGTTAGGTCAAGTGCGGGGAGCCCAGCTGGGAAGAGGAGGCCAGCTGGGTTGCCAGTGTCCTCCTGAAACCCACATTTTTTTTTTTTTCGTGGTTCTTGAAGCAACAGGAAAAAGTACAAATAAATGATATATTACAAATGAGTGTCTGTCAGTATTTGCTTCTCTGCTGTTTGTTTAATGGATGCTGGAGTTAGTCTTCATGGTCATTTTGAAAGATGTACAAAGATCAGGTCACACACATCTCTCATAAAGAGGCAGATTACTCCCTCTGACACCTAAGGACAGACTCCAATGGCATTACGGGAAGATTCCAGAGTTAAACTTTGTAACTCCCGTTTGGAGGATTAAGATTTTAGTGCCATGTATTCGCATTAGATGCTTAGATTGAAATACGCCGTCTCCATAAGGACTAATGGATTGCCCTATGGCTTGAATTATAGGTAAACAGGAATAGGTCTTACTGTGAACAAATAAGGTCTCAACCTGTGGGGCACTGACTACTACAGGAATAGAAATGTAGCCACCCAAGTGTAGCTTGATAAACCAGTGAGTTTAATTAGGGCTCCTTAAAAAAGTGTAAGGTGACACTGGAGGCTGTGCCATTGAAGAAAAATAGTAACTTAGTAACCCTGGGGAGGGTGGGCCTTGGGGGTCCCTCCCCCTAGCAACCATGACTGCATAAATCTTGGGTTGAAAGGTG